CGTGTAATATAGTCGTGCAAAAACAAAGAATGATGTATATGGATAGTTTGGATATAAAGCGCCAATATTAGATTTTTAAATATTTTTAGTAAACACTAGACTTTTTCAAAGTGAATTTACTAGTAGATTTCATATTGTAATTGTATTATATTAACCTATGCGTGTGCACTAACTTGGAAGTAAAATAAAAAATATATTATAAGAGCTTCTAAATTTATTCTATCATATAATATATTTTTTATTTACTTCCAAGTTAGTGCACACGCATAGATTAATACAATACATTACAATACAAAAATTTTTAACCACAAATATACTAGTAAATTCACTGAACAGGCCCAATATATTTTTTATTTTACTCCCAAGGTAGTACACACATATAGATTAATACAATACATTACAATACGAAATTTATACCTACAAATCTACTAGAAAATTCATTTTGAAAAGGCCATTATATTTTTAATAATGATAATAACTGGTTCTCAATACCTGTTTAAAAATTGGCACAATTTAGAATCCACTATAATGCTGTTAAATATGACTATAATCACGCTAACAAATAAAATATAAGATTTTGCACTTATACCAGAGCCAGTGGATTTTAGTAGCATCTAAAATAGTACTATTTTTAGCAAAATAGCTACGTAGCAATATTGTTTGTGCTAAGATGCTAACTTTGCTACTTTTGTACTAAATATGCAGCTAATACTTTTGTTCTTAAACTGATTTGTATAAGTAAATAATTAGATACAAGTTCTTAACTGATGACTAGAGAACTTACTAGAATGATATATTAAGAACTCATTGAAGAACATATGACTACATTAAAATCTAGATTTGATAAACATAAATTTTTTAATAAGCTATTTTGTTAATTTTGCAAAATTTACTAGCTAATTTTGCTAGTTGGTTTTGCTTCTAACGACCACTAGCTCTGACTCATACCCATGAACTTCATTTCAATCCATTTCTAGTATTAATCAATGTTAGTATAAACAATTTAAATTAATGGATTGTTAAATTGATTAACTTTAAAGAAAGTTCAATGTATTAAATAGCATAATTTGAATGCAATTCAACTTGCAATTCAAAATTATTATATGATTTCATGGATATGAATGTCTGTGAAGGCATGTGTTAATATTGAATAGCAAGTTTGAATGATATATTAGATTGTATTTGAATCATAAAACTCAACATTGAATTCATTATTATAAATACTTTGTAGTCTTATTTTATTTGCATTTAATTACTAGTATAATTTACTCAAACTTGTAGTAATTATTTCTCTTTAATGCCTTTTCTATTTAGATATATTTTACTTATATAAATATAGTGAATTAATATAAAAATTGTTAATGTGTGTATTCAGTAATCTGTTAATAGTAATCCAATATCGCAAAATAATTTAGCATACATATTGGTAGAACAATGATTTTTTATTTAGTTATTCTGTGAGATCTCTTAGTCGCAGTTTAGTATAGCTCAAGTTATAGATATGATTGTAGTCAAAGCTTAAAATTATGATTGGACTTAGTCGACTAAGTCATTAAGAAGCAAATTTAGAGTATTGTTACTTGACCAGTTAAAGCATAAATTATTATTGTTTTGCTAATAATAAACTCATGTGTATTTCTTACCTTTTCTGTGTAAACAATAAGCAAATTATCAAATAAAAATCTTAAAAAGACAATAGCCAAACTTTGACCAATAAATTTTTAGTTTATCGACTAAGTCGACTAGCCCCTAATTGGTTTACAACACTAGTTCTAATCAAGGTATAAAATACCAACTTATTGACCAGCTATTCAAAAATATCATTCTTGATTCAAATTATTTTAATTATTCAAAAAGACACTTGAAACAATGAGCTAATGGCTAGTAACAGGGCTTAAAATCCTATAGTAATTTGCCAGCCTGCAGCCTATTGTTTGAAGTGTTTTTCTTGATTTATTGAAATTAGTGTATTGTACATCTTATTGTTTACTATATTAGCTGATTAATTTCTAATATAATATATATCAAGAATAATTCTTTTGAATGGCCGGCAAATTACTATAGGATTTTAAGCTCTGGCCGGTAAATGAGTTGATATTTTATACCTTGGTTCTAATTTGTTATTCATTTATTCAACATACAATATTCGTATATTAATCTTTTTAAATCGGATAACCAAATAGTTTAACTGAATTATCCAATATATTAGTTATTACAACTTCTAAGGTAATCAACAATATAAATTAGAGAAATTCTACTTTCACCAGAGCCAGTGGTTATTAGAAGCAAAACTAACTAGCAAAACTAGCTAGTAAATTTTGCAAAATTAGCAAAATAGCTTATTAAAAAATTTATGTTTATCAAATCTAAATTTTAATGTAGTCATTTATTCTTCTTCAATGAGTTCTTAATATAGCATTCTAGTAAGTTCTCTAGTCATCAGTTAAGAACTTGCATCTAATTATTTACTTATACAAATCAGTTTAAGAACAAAAGTAGTAGTTGTATGTTTAGTACAAAAGTAGCAAAGTTAGCATCTTAGCACAAACAATGTTGCTACGTAGCTATTTTGCTAAAAATAGTGCTATTTTAGATGCTACTAAAATTTACTGGCTCTGACTTTCACCCACATATAAATAGAATTTCCCTAATTTATTTTATTGATTACCTTAAATCTTGTAATTGGCAAATGAATTTATATTATTTATTTTAGAACTTTTAATTTTCAAATTAATCTGAATAATTCATTGGATAATTTGGGTGTTTATTTATTAATCTATTTTATCTAACATTAGATATCCAATATATAATCGGATAAATGGTTCATAGAATGGAACTCTATATAATATATAATTAAAGACCAGATCAAATTTGTAAAAAATTGATATGTTTGATGTTTAATAACAGCAAAAAAGTAGCTTACTATTTCAAGACCAAAATCATAAGTTTTGCAAAGTTTATATATATCAATTGATACTTTCAAAATATAAATTTTATTACCGTAAATTCTCAAAATAATGGGCATGGGCGTTATTTTGGGGTTTGGTCTGAATTAATCTTAATTTAGACCAATTTTCGTAATTTCACCCCAGGTGTTATTTTGAGAATTTACGGGTAGTAAAAATAATAAATTACAGCAATAGCATTAAAAAATTAGCATTGAAAGTAATATAGTAAGGTTATTATGAATAAAAAAACAAACCATCTATAGCATAGATTACATTTTAGCTTGCAAGATTACAAGTTCGAACATTATGCCCATAATTTTCACAGTTAGCATATTTGTTTTGATTCCTTTGACTATTATTTACATTTGTACTATTGGGATTATGAATATTTTTTTGAGAATTTGCGGTCTGCTCTAATGCACTCTTGAATCGTTTAGATGGCCACCCACGGTGTTTTGTCATGAATAGATTAACAATGGCTGGTTGAGATTCAACTTTATTATCTACTTTATTTTCTTCTAAAAGTTGTAATTTATGTGTTTTAGTTAAAATAAATTCTTTATAATATTAAAGAACTCGTTATCACAATTAAGCTGTATCATTAAATTTAGTGCTTTCTTTGTTATTTTATGTCTCTTAGACCAACGTGTTTTCTCACCAACAGATTTTTGTAGGATAGGCATAAATATATTAGAAACACGAAAATGAGGTAAATGCTGAAAGTCAATTGTATAAAGGGTATTATTAAGTGCTGAGGGCCCATTAGATTCACACAATTTAATAGGCGGAAGTGAAGTAACAAGATCCTTATTTTTATTCATCTTGTTATCCTTATACCAACAGGTTAATATTAAGAAAATATAGAACCTAGCAAGATGTGA